TTCATCAAAAAAGCAGAAAGTCGATGGGTGGGGAATAGAAGAGCGATTCACAGATGTAAAAGAGGCAGACAGACATAAAGGTAGGGAAAAAGGTAAGATGAGTACTGTGGAAGGGGTCGAATATGACAAGCAGTTGGGCCATAGTATTTTGAAGTTAGAAGTCGAATGCCGGTTAATAGACTTTTTGCCGTATGAGTATACGTTGCCCAGGGTGCACCACGTGGAGGTAAGTCTATCGCGATATAATTATAGAATCTCCGTTTCATTTTAATATCGAATTTACATGGTTAAATAACGTATCAAGGATGCAAATTGGTCAAATGGATACACAGCTTTTAAATTATAGTACCCAGAAGAGAATGCTACGCGAATCTTCCCCCCTTAAATTTTAAACAAAATTTCGATACTTTATTGTGAAACTATTGTCCTAGAAACATTTCCTCTTCACTTCACCAGACGGCTTTGGATCTGCAACAGTTATATGAGAAGCAGAGCAAAAAAATAATAAGAAGAACAGTTTCACTAACAATTTCTTCCTATCAATGTCCTTATACTCGACTAAAATATACCAAACTTTTGTGGCATTTAAAAGACCAAGTGTGTTCCATATTGGCTCCTTCTGAGCTTTTTAAATCGCCCTAAACAAGTTATGGTACCGATGGCTATCAGTGTGATAACCTTTTGGCCCTCTGCGGTGTCCTCAATAGGGTGACCTTATAATTATGTTCCCACATGTCCTTTCTGTGTACTTTATAGTCATTTTCCATTTCTTCTATACTTTTAGATGACACATATTTTCCTGTAGACGCTAAATATTGCCCTTGATATTCCGTATGTGTTTGTGAATGTTTTAACTTCCTAGTCGCTGACTGCTTTTGATGCTTCAATGGAAAGAGTATAATTCAGGCTTAGATAGAGTCTATTTGTAGAGAGTGGAAGTTGCCACCAATCTGACGAATGAGATCATCAAATCATTATGACAAATAATTATGATAAGTAATCATACTGTAACATAAAGATGTATTTTTCAAGCAAATCAGACCTTAGTTATGAAGTATGCCATTTAGTGGTATCTTTATTTGACATCCTTTGTATCTTTTATCTAATTATTCACTTATCTCGAAACGGAATATTTATTTATTTCAAATAGCAGGCTTTTTGATAGTTATCATTAGCCCATCAGCTGACTTCGGGCTTCACAGAGAGGAGGAGGAACATCAAAGTGAGAAAAATTCGAGAGAAGGAACAGAAAAGTGATTCACAGATGTAAAAGAGACAGGCAGACACAAAGGCAGAGAAAAGGTGAGATAAGTACTGTGGAAATGGTGGAATATCACATACAATGGGGTCATGGTAGTTTGAAGTGAGAAGTCGACTGCCGGTTTATAGACTTTTTGCCGTATGAGTATACGTTTCCCAGGCTTCACAACATGGAAGTAATTCTATTGCATACCCCGAAAAGGAATATTATTTAGGCCAAATATATGCCAGGAGGAATGGAATTGAAAAACATGCGTTTCCACTTTAAATTCGAATCTCAGTAGTTATTATACCAACTTATTATTATGAATCGATGATAAAAGTGAATAAAGCTACCAAATCAAAGTTCGCATTTTATATTAAAATTTTCCATGTTCTCTTAACTAAAACCGTGATCCACTCAACAAATTGTAAAATGGGTTAGTGACTTAGGAAGAGTACAAATTTATTTTCGAGAAGTCTGATTGTTTATGATTTCTAATGCTCTGTTCATTATTCTTTCAACATTTGACATCCATTCTGACAGTGAATTGTTTGTTAGAAGACTGAAAATGCGGTAAGCAAAAAATATCTCCAAAAATTAAACGTTTCGTCAAATTTTTCTAATTTTTCGTCCAATTTATAAATGCAAAATGATAATATTTGTGGGAGGGGGAGGGAGGGCATTTCAATAGGCGCGATCATTTCAAACCACTCCATCCAAACCTACTTTTTGTTTCCATCCAAGTTTCCAATTTCCATGAGATTCACAATTCTACGCTCAATAACATTTCAGAATGCAATATTGTGTGTGGCCTTTATTTATTCTTGATCGGTGCAAACTTTAGCAATTATAAAGGGCAACGTTAGAGCCGGTATGCTATAAGAGTAGACATCGTCCAATTGTCGGCAATTATTCCCAATAATAAAACCAAGTGGTCTTGAACCGGCACTTCGGGGCTCCCACCAATGCCATAAAGAGCGCTTGCAGAATTGTAGAGAAAAAATGTATTTCAAAAAAAAGATTCTTATTTATTCTGTCCATGTTCTTGTCTTTTTTTCTCTTCAGTAAATTATTTTCCTACATGTGCTGTTTTGACCGTGCCACATCTGGCTGCACTTTTGTAGGCTAAGTTGTAATACGAAGAATAAATAATATTTAGGTAATTTGCGTCTTGACTTGAGCCGCTATTAAGGAAATAAAAATTATTACCAATAATTATAATAATAATTATTATTATTATTATTATTTATGCTGAAGTTATTATGAGATTGTAAATTATGGTAATGCGGAGTCGAGCTATTTTCAATGAGTTATAGAAATAGCAGAATAGTCCAAATTCAGAACACCTGTCATCTATTGTGATTCCTAATCCAAGATATATAATCTAAGATCTTGGAGGGAAACTAAAAATTAAGAAATCTTTGATGTTTTGCCTTAAAGGGCTAAATTTGCTAAAGGGCTAATTATGACTATTAAAACGTCTGCCATTTGATATAAATAAATAAATAAATAAGTAAGATGTAATAGAGACAGACACAAAGGTAGAAAAATGTGAGGTGAGTACTGTGACAGTAGTGGAATATGTCATACAGGCGTCAGCAGTCAACTAGCGGTTTTTTATAGACCTTTTAGCAGTATGAGTCTACATTGCCCTGGGTGCATCGCGTGGAGGTTAGTCTATCGCACACCCCTGTATTGCCTTAATAAAAAATACCCTTAATACCAATTTCAAAAATACCAATTGGTGGGTAAAAGCCCATTAAAGTTTCCTTAATGTGTAATGATTAGATTTACTGAAAATTGGGTTAATAACATACATTTTTTAATCATATTCTGCCAAAGACCCAGCGGATCCACATATTGAATCGCTCGCATCTTAGTTCCTTGCTACAACTTGCAAACGACTTAGGGAAGACCAGGGCGTGAATACAGGTGTGTAAAAGTAGCAATGATGTGCAAGACTAATTTACTTGGGAATCGGTTTTGAGCTCTGTGAAAGGCGAATAACAGACCAATGGAAAATAACGAAAACTTAGAACATCAAGTCTCATTTACCTATAACCCTACAGGCGTTGAAATCAGTTAGAGCATAAATCTATGTAATGAGTATGCCTAAAGATATTTATTTATTTCGTATGGCAGGCGTTTTGATAGCTATCATTAGCCATTTAGCTGACTTCAGGCTTCACTGAGGGAAGGTCCATCAAAGTAGAAGAAAGTCGAGGGATGGGGAACAGAAGAGCGATTCGCAGATGTAAAAGAGGCAGACAGACACAAAGGTAGAGAAAAAGGTAAGGTGAGTACTCTGAAAGGGGTCGAACATGACAACCAGGGGGGTCGTGGTAGTTTGAAGTCAGAAGTCAACTGCCAGTCAATAGACTTTTTTGCCGTATGAGTATACGTTGCCCAGGGTGCACCACGTGGAGGTAAGTCTATTGCACTCCCCATGCATAAGGGTATAAAACTCTTGAACCGTACTCTCAACCGCCCTATTTATTCTTGTCCCAAAATTAGGACGCCGCATGTTTGCATTTGCACTTACTGGTGATTCACATTCTATTTTCTTCTGCACCATTTTTCAAAAATGTTAAATTGGCTTTTTAAAGTGTGGACATCCTTTTATTCAATATCCTTCGCCAACCACGTGGGCAGTTTCAAATCAAATAGGCTCTTTACTTTTAGTAAATCGGGGTTGCTCAATGTGTAATTTCTAAAAAACAATATTTTTAGCTATTTTAATAGTTCATGCCTATTTTTTTTACGAAAATATGGTAGAAGACCCTTAAAAAATGGGAACAGGTTCCCTTTAAGATATTAGAATGGTCCAGCTTTCACTTCTGTATGCATCCAGTACTGAGTCTTCACGGTATCGTTCTTTTCTTTATGAAGTTTACGTTCTTTTCAGCATCTTTGAGATTGATTCTTGGTTCGATCATTTGTTGTAAAACCAACCTTAGTGTGACCAACATTAATTACTTGTTGGCATTAATCCCCCTCTCTTTTTCTCAATGTTGGAAATGCACTGAGAAATAGTTTCCTCCCCACATTTACTTTTTAATAAAATAACGGTTGTTATCGCTGCCAAAAGGTAAAATAGAGATCACAAACCTTCGGGATCTTCAAAACGTTATTCAATTGATTGCCTAATGTGTTAGAATGGAGGATAATCAATCATAATAAGGTGTACTAACAGAAATCATCAATGGGCATTGCTTATTACACTGTTATTTACTGTGACAAGGTTTAAATTGCCGCACATTATCCTTGGGTTCCAGAGTACTAAGTACCGACAATGCTAAGTTTGTGGACTTGTAACTACATTACTGTATACTATTTTATCCTATTTCTAAATGATAGGAATGGAGTTTTAATTTTCCAATGCGTTTCATTAAGACAATTTTATTTTAGTTACTTTATATATTTCGAGTTCATTTTATCTTTAAATGCCTTTACATCATGGCCAATAGCATTGCGTTAAAGAGTGCTCGCTAAAACGAGTAATTAAACAAAACACGAAAAGGTGTTATCAAATTACCGCTGCAATCACAGGTGTTAATCATAGAAACCCTCTTCTCACAGCACCTGCGAAAATCAGACCCAAAGACCAGACACCTAGATTACAGCACGCGTCTATTGGTTGACTGTGCCTCATCGTTGATTGGCTGGATGATAATTTGGGGCAGTCACTCACACCCACTCTATCTCGAGGACAGTCACCTTTACATATGTCCACATATGATACGCTTTTGGCAGTGATATGTTGAAAGGAACAATTGCTTCGTCAACATCCTCTACTGATCTGACTTCCACTCCAAATCTAATCCGTCATGTAGCAGAAATTCAAGCCATTCTCAATAGTGATTCTAATGAGCATAACATCCATTCTTCCATTTTTGCAAACAATAAAACTCGGACATATGTTTCCACTCCCACTGCTTCTCCTGCTTCAGATAGCTCCAGTTCTCCAATAACTGTTCTCCTTACGAATGAACGAGACGATGGTGGGGATGATATTAGTGATATTAGTACTGAGAATGAAAGTCATAGAGTTGTACAGAACCTGATGCCTTCAATATCTCGGAATCCACAAGTTTATTCGCCAAACTATCCCCAATCCAAGTTGTCCCAGTTCAGTCGTATGATACACCATTCTCGACAAGAATCTCACTCCCCTATAGCCTTAAAAAGTATTAGAACTACTCTGTGGATTGATAGAACTCTTTTTCTTGTAGGAGTGATTATTCCTCTATCACTCGGAATCGTCCTCTTTCTTGTTCACTCCTTCACAGATTTCATCAGCTGCCAACCCGTTAGAGTGACCTCAAGTGTACCAAATAAGTTTGTTAATCAAGTTTGCCGGACAAAGTTGATGCAAGTTATTCTTCAAGGTGTCAGGGACAGGGATAATGAGGATCGAATTACGGGGAGTCTTCAACATGAATGTTTTCCGATTATTTTGATCCTTATTGCCATTTTGAATTGGATTCCGCACCTCTGTTGGCATTTTATTGTACGGCATTCTATCTATTGTGATGCCTCTCTTGTGGCTTCTGAACTGAGAAGTTTCCGTAAGACCGCTCAACGTGAATTGCTCTCCATTGCATCAACAATCAGTTCTATACCTCTTGGCTCCAACTTCATGCCAATAACTCAGGAGATTAGAATGAAGAATTTTGGCAGACCAACACCTACTCAACGTCGAAGTGGTGATGAACTTACAATTACGGAACCAGTAAGTAACTTCCAGATATCACACACTAAGAATACCATATCACCAGTTGATACTGGATATGAGTCCGAAATGGACTTACCTTCAGCAGCTGTAATGCATTTACCTAAACTTCGAGTCAGTAAAGATGATCATGCTCTCAATCTCTTCATCTCCGGTTGGCAAAAGACGGACTTTTACTTTCGACGCTTCCTTGCTAAGCACGCTGTTTTATTTCTCTTTAATATCACCACTTTTATACTTGTGCTCATTCTGTCTGCTGTTACCTATGGGGAACCGTTTTCTGGCAATTTTTACTGTCGACCAACCGAGAAATCCACTACTCTGCATGTTTGCCTCACCTCAACCGCTTTCGCACTCAACATGACTGCCTTTTGTCTCGGTGCCTTGGGTCTGATTGGCTTTGTTTGCTCTGCCATTTTCTTCCACCGCAACTTCTTGCACAGTCGTGTTTACAAGGAGTCGATTGTTGCCTGTGGAACTAAATCTATCCTTCAATCCGATCTAGCTGCCTGTTTGGTGACACGCCGTGATGAGAATTTCTTCTCTGATTACATTCGATTACTAGCGTTAGCACGAATGCAACTACGTGGGTCGCTCTTTGTCACGCGACGAGAGGTTTTCAACCTTCGACTCTCGTACCTTCCAGGTATCACGAAGACAGATTTTCACTTTATGAATCTCCTCTGCAAGGAGAATACAAGACAATTTCCAGATATCATGCAACTGCGGGTTTGGCTCCTGCGTTACGTCTTCCTTTGCCGACGCCTTAGTCCTGCTATGACCAATCGAGCCACTTCCACGCCGAATAATCAGATGAGAAATGAGGATCTCTCACATCGTCTAGGATTTGGCAAGGTTCGAGTTAATATAGACTTTTGTGATCAATATTGTTAGGAGATTAAATTCTATATATATGTATATATACATATGTATTATTTCTAATTAATGTTCTCAGATGTTTCTTTGACCTTTTATTCTGCTATTGAAATGTTTAACCTACTTCCACAAACCCATTAATTATATTTAGCCAATAAATGGTTTAAGAATTATTTATAACCAAATTAAGACGGTTTATCTTTTAATTTTTTTATTTAGTTCATTTATAAGACATACACAAAATTTATTTGTAAATTTGGGGAAAAACACTTCACTAGGGTGTCAGTTAAGTCGAATAAACGTCGGATTCTGAATGAGTGGTAGAAAGCGCCATTCATTTACATTATATCATTTATTTATATCAAATAGCAGGCGTTCTGATGATTATAATTAGCCCTTTAGTTGACTTCAAGCTTCGCAGAGAGGAGGGGAAACATCAAAGTGACAAAAAGTCGAGAGGGGGGACAGAAAAGGGCTTCAACGATGTAAAAGAGACACACACAAAGGTAGAAAAAGGTGAGGTGAGTACTC